TGTTCTCTGAGGCGCTCTTGGAGCCGTCTTGGGCCATCTTGGACGCTCTAACTACCCGCGGCCCCCCCCGTCCAGGTCCAGGGGAGGGGGTAGGGGGAGGGGCAAACCCCTCCCCAAGGGGGAAGAGGGAGGGGTGGAAGAGGATCTGCTCTAGACCACCTACGCCCAGAGGGCTGGTGGGATTTCATGCGAGTTCCCAGCGGCGACGTCTGCATGCGTCCGCGCCGCCCATTGCGGCGCACCCATCGCGCGCTTCATGGCCCCGTGCGGATCCCCGCGTAAAGCCCCCGCGGCGACGTTGACATACGTCGGCGCCACCCATGGCGACGCGCCCCTCACACGGTCCGCAGCCCCATGGGGGGCTCCGCCAAATCCACCCAGTGGCGACGTCCACGTGCGTCCGCGCCGCCCGCAACGGCGCACCCCTCAAACGCTTCGCGCCGTCATGGGGGGCTCCGCCCAAGACCGCAGCGGCGATGTTACATGCGCCGACGCTCCATAGGGTGCCCCACCGAAGGCCTCAGCGGCGGCGTTTACATACGCCCGCGCAGCCCATGACAGCGCACCCGCGCGCCGTTCGTGGCCACGCAGCGAGCTCCCTGTACGGCACCACCGGCGATGTTTGCATGCGCTTGCGCCGCCCATGACGGCGCGCCTGTCGCAGTGTTCATGGCCCCAAAGCGAGCGCCGCCGAAGGCCCCAATGGCGACGTGCACATGCGCCCGCGCCATTCATTACGGCGCACACTTCGCACGGTCCGCGGCCCCATAGGGAGGCCCGCGGGCCCACGTAAGGCCCCAGTGCCGACGCATGCACGCGCCCGCGCCCCCAAGAAGGGCACGCCGCTCACGCGGTTCGTGGCCGCGTAGGGAGCTCCGCCTATAGCTCCACTGGCGACCTCTGCGTGCACCCGCGCCACGCATCACGGCGCACCGCTAACGCGTCCCGTGGCCCCACGGGGAGCTTCGCTTGAAGCCCCGACGGCGACGTTTACGCGCGCCCGCGTCGCCCGTTACGACGCGCCCCTCAGACGGCTCGCGGCCCATGAGGAGCCCCATCTAAGGCCCAAGTGACGACGTTAGCATGCCCCCCCCCTCCCCGCCCCCTCCCCCCACACCCTCCCATTCACTCCGCCCGCCCACCCACCGCGACCACCAGCATCAACACACACACACACACACGCACGCACACACACGCGCACACACATACCACCACCACCACCATCGCCACCACCACCACCACCACCCACCACCACCAGCACCACACTTATACACACCACACACACCAACACACACACACACACAGACACGCGCACGCACGCACACACACACACACACACCAACACACACAGACCACACACACACACACACGCATTGTGGCGCACCCCGCGCGCGCTTCGTAGCCGCATGTGGAGCTGAAAGGGACGCGCCAGTGACACTTGCCGATGCGTTGCCCCGTAGGAGGTTTCACCGAGGAGGGTGTTCACAAGTGCTGCGCTCCCAATTGCACATGGTATGGCTTTTCGTCACGATGAGTATATACCAGCTCTACGTCGTCCTACTACCACATGCCATACACTGGTTTCACATGACTCTTTCCTGTTCTGGAGTACTCGTCGGTGCTCATGTGGGTTTCGCGCTTCGTTGCTCAGGAGCCAGTCGTACTCGATTCACCTTCCGCATTACTGGAACAAACTTGCTCGACGCATACACTAACTCTCGTGTTTTCTCTGGTCTATACCTACCCTATGGAGATTACGTCCAGTCTGCTGCTCTGTGACGCGTATCGGTACCCTGCTTTATTTCTATAATGTGCATACTCTAGCGGTGATGCGCTCGTTGTCTACTCCTCTCTTACTTAGGGAGGGGGAATAAGGAGGTGCCCGCGCCCATGTTATTGCTGTTTTGTTTTGTTTTTCGCAGCCAACGAAATGTTCAGGATTGTGGCCTCACACAAAGTTCAAAATCTCACGGACGAGCCTGGACCGCATGCAGCCTCGATGGGCGACGTTGCCGCAGTTGCTTGCTGCGACATGAGGCGGGCGTGGTTCCCACGCGCCACTCCAGCCATGCCGACCGTCGGCGCCGTCCTTCCCCTACTCTTCTAATGTCCCTCTGGCACATCATCATTCTCAATCGTATCCTCCTTGGTTCGATCCCGCCTCACATGTCTTCGGATCTCTCGCATCGCCCACCCCCATTCATCAGCATCATATTTTCCAGCCTTCCCCATCGTGAACAAAAACACACCAAATAAAATTTTACTTGATTTTTCAATTCGTATGTAATTTAATTCTGTAGTCGTTGAGCTATATGAGTTGTGCGCTCGCCCAGAAGCTGGCGAGGGCCCCGGGGGGGGGGAGCGGAGGATCCCGAGGGATTAATGGGGCCGCCAGCGTCATGTCGGGCGTGTCCCCCTACAGGGGGATTTTCGACGAAAAATAAAAAAATACGCCACAAATAGCCAAAAAATAATCAAAAAATAGTCTGGGGACTATTTTTTAGTATTTTTGACCATGTTGGAGCATTGTTTGAGTATTTTTCATTTTCGTCGAAGATCCCCCTGTAGGGGGACACGCCCGAATTACGGCCAGCGGCCTCTGGGGGCCTGGGAGCCCCAGGACCGTCGAAGGACGGCTCGGGAGGGACAGCTGGTCCGGAGGGAAGGCGCCCGGGTCCACGGGCCCGTGTCCCTTAGGATCCGCTTGCGTCTGTCATTCAAGCAGTGGCGAAGCGTCCTGGTTCGCCTACAGGCCTACCAGAGAATGTTCTGAGAACCTTTTGCGGTTTGCCCGACATGTTTTTAGACCATGTCTGGTTGAGACTGTCTTGTTTTAACACATCGGGCTAATGTTCTAAGAACATTGTTTTGTGATTCGAATATTTTGGGGTTCTAAGAACATGTCGTGGTAGGACTATGGGAATGCCGGGACGGTCGGTCCCTGCTCAAGTCATGTTCCTGCCAGCACGCGCCCGTCCCGAGAGGCCATGCGCACCACGGCCGTCTCTCTCTCTCCGTGCTGCTCTTTTCTGCTGTGCGGCTTGCGCCCAAGGGCTGGCTGCTGGCCACGAGCCTTCTGATGTTCCAACCTACTTTAGCCTTGTTTGCCGGAAAGAATTTCGAGTGCCAAGAAACTTGAGGGTTTTCACGCGTCGGGCCCTGGGAGGCAATACTCGTTCGACACCGTTTCGATATTCTTCTGCGTGCTCGAAATTATTTTTGGGAGATGGTCCTTAAGTACGATGGGAACAACATAACACGAGCCGCGGGCGTTGTCTCCCAGTCCAGCGGAAAACTCAGTAATCTCTGCCATCGATTATTGTGTGCTACTCTCAACGCTGCGCAGCTCGCTGCGACATTGCACGACGAGAACTGGGATGCGGTTGGAGAGACGGCCCTAATGTCAGTCAGCGGGAAGAGGGGTCGCCACAAAGTGGAGTGGGGTCCTGCGGGAAATTGGGTCCTCGCTTCTGGCTTCTGGGAACCCTCCCCGGGTCCTCGGGGTCGTCAAAAGATGACGGAAGGTTGGTTCCAAGTTCCAAGGGGGTCCCTGGTTTCCAACATTGGGGCAGGGACCCATTCCTCGCGTCGTCAACAGAACTGGTTTTTGGCCATTGGTATCCGGGGGCCTTCACCAGTCCGCGGGGCACGCAGACAGCGGTTCAGGTTGCAAAGGGCCCCCCCCCGAGGAAGAGCCAGGTCTGGCTGCGAGCGAAGCTGGACGGGGGCGACAAGGGACAGAAGGCGGATGCAGAGGAGGATCGCACCCAGGAAAACACGGGGCCCGCCGAAGACCAAGGGAGGAAAGGCCGAGGAGGAGAGGGCTGCCGACACCGCTGCGCTCTTCTCGAGGCGGCCACGGCTGGAGTCGCCTCGGAGCTCTGGTCGCAGCGCACCCCCGCGGGAGGGTGGGGGAGTGGCGACGTCGGTGCGTCTGCTTTCTCCAGGTGGTTTGCGAATCGTGTGATTATAGTGCCGTTTTGAATACCTGCTCCGCGTGCGGATCATGTATTTAACATGCAAGGATTTAGTATTAAAAACAACGATGAGTTCATGCATACATGTATTCATAACTTAATCATGGATTAAGATCGTATATCTTTAAACATCCTATGTATTAGAAGCTGCCCTGCAGGGGGCCACGTGCGAACCCTACCCCCGCCCCCCACGACTTCTGAGGGGGAGGGTGGGGTTCACCTCGTTCTGGGAGCTCCCGAGCTCAGAAATCGTGGGGGGGTAGGGGTAGGGTTCGCATGCGGCCCCCCCGGTGATGCCCGTTTGGGGCCTCCGGGGGCCTCCGTGCCTCTGGAGACCTCCAACGTTGCCGCCACGGAGGGAGGAAGGGTTGCGGAGGAGGGCGGGCAGCACTTGCAGGCTATAGGTTGAAGTCGGGTCTGCCCCTCTGCAGGAGGAATGTCCAAGACTAGTCCACAAATAGTCTGGGGACGACGTTTCGATCATGGGAGAGAGAGAGAGAGATAGAGAGAGAGAAGTTGAAATGGAACACCCTGGCGTGTGGGGTAGATCCAAACTTAAGAAGATGTTAGTCTACACTCCTGTTGCCAAAACGCCGTCTTCTAGAAGAAGGTAGCGGGGTAGCATGAGTAAGCATGTCTTCCTTTCCACTAGCCAATCTCGTAATGCCTACTGGCGTGGAATGATGCCGAAGCTGGAGTCGGTCGGTGTTGCGTGCACTCCGAGGTGCTCGATGCGTCGTGGAACGACGTCTTGGTCGGACCACTGTTGTCGTTTGCCGATGTTTTCCACAAAGCCCACTCGTCGGTCGAAGCTCTGAGTATCTGCAATGTCGATGGCCAGCGCGTCCGGCGAGGTGGAGACAATCGCGCGATCGTCCATGAAGGCGTGGCCAGAGGATAGGGGCTGCCAAGGGGCGAGGCAAGCCACCATCGTGGCTGGGGCCATGGCGTCCCCGCTGTGGGTGGGCAGGTGTAGACCACGAGGTCTGGCAGGCCGCTCTGGATGAGGCCTTCTTGGGATAGCTCGTGACCGATGTTGTCGAAGGCCCGTGACAGGTATATTTCCCCCTCCGTCGGAGGAGTCCGCGCAGTCGGATAGCCAGGCGGCTATGGCGTGGGTGACGCTGGTACCAGAGCGGTTGGCGCGCTGATTGTCTGGCGGCTCAGGCACGGCTTGGGACGGGGACCTGAGCCAGACTCTGAGGAGTACCGAACCGACCGAGATCGGCCGGGCGTCGCTTTTCCCCTCGGGCACCCCTGCTACCTTCCAGGGGAAGGCCCTGGAGAGGAGGTCGGGCGGGAGGTGGCCCTTGGCTTGGACAGCTGCTGTGGACGTGACAGTCCAGAGGTCGAACAGCTCGCGGACGATGGCCGGGAACCAGTGGGCCAGAGCGCGGAGCTCCTTACAGTTCCAGCCGTCAAGCCCAGGGCAACCCTGGCGCGTTGGATGGCTCCCCGGAACTGGTCCCAAGTGGGTGTCCAGCCGGAGGCCTTGTCGGATTTCGGGAAGACGGTGTCCGCGGCATAGGTCTTCCAGCGTTTGTGGTGCGCGTCGCCGTCGCAGTTGTCGGGGCACCGCTGGTCATGCAACTGCTGGCGCATGTCGTGGACGTTCATGGCGGGCGTCGGCGGCGTGGCCTTGAACATGGGAGTCGTGTAGGACCAGAGGTCGTTGCTCCAGGTGGCGAATCTCTGTCTCCATTGGCGGTTCGCCCCATCCTGGAGACGGGCTTTCTCCGCCGAGGTCGCCTGGGAGATCCAGTGGAGGGCGTCGGAGTAGCATGGGATGCCGCAGGCTTGCGCGTTGAGGATGCCGTCGAGGGCCGCTTGGGCTACCGAGCGGTGGTGCCTCGGCGTGAGGTAGTCGTCGCTTCGGTCTCCCTGGCGCAGGTGTTCTGCGAGGGCCCTGTGGAGGCGTAGCAGGCGTCGGAGGGCTCTCTGCTGGTCCAGTCGGTGTGCCGGTGAGTGCGAGGTGCGTCGAGTCGTGGGCTTGGAGCCCTCGGGCCGTTCGGCCAGTTGGTCGAGCTGCGTGCAGCCACGGTCGACTGCCACTAGCATCGCCTGTTCGGCACGTTGGCGCCAGTAGTCCCATCGGTCCGTGAGCGGCGGGCTGATGTCGTCGTCGTCGTCGGAAATCAGGGGAGGACCAAATTCCAAGTCAACCAGTTCCTGCATGAGGGCTCTCTCTTCCGGAGGAGCGTCGCGGGCTGGGGCGCAGGTAGCGGCCCGTCGGAGGCGGTGGCCGGTTTGTTCCGTGCACGGGGCGGTGAGCGTGTAGCTGACGAGGCCGTGGCGTGGAATGCCAGCCAAGAGCGTGGTGTTGGTGTGCAGTGGTGGCCTGGCGTCGGGGCTTCCCCAGAACAGGGGGCGCGTCGGGCAGGTATTCGCCGTGGTCGTGGTTGATGGTGAGCCGTCGGCGGTGGTGTCGAGGCGCCAGCCGTGTCCGATGACCCCTTGCGTAGGTGGGGCGCCAGTTCAGGTCCCCAACAACGAAGATTGGGTGGCCGAGGTGGCCGAGTGCGCGAAAGAAGGTGAAACTCCGGTGGAACCAGTCACGGTCGAGCTCGGCGGGGCCGTAGGTCGAGAGGACAGTAGCGTGTGCCATACGAATACCCACCATCCTGTGCCCGAGCATTGCGTCCCGAACTACGTGGACACGGCCCAGCGAGCGTCGCCAGAGTATGGCGCACCCTTTTTGGCGCACAGCGGCGGTGGCGCCCCTGGCGGCAGGGGGGGGGGTCGGAGCAGGCGATGCTCCAACCGCGGCTCGTGGCGAGGCGGAGGACCCACCTGGGGCGAAGCTCCCGCTGGCGAATCTCCTGCAGGCACACAATGCCAGCTGCCATCGTGTCTCGAGAGGACAGGATGGTGGTCAGGCGGGCCTTGGTGAGCCTAGTGACGTTGATAGTGCAAACTTGGAGTTGCAGTGCGTCGGGCATGGTGTCCGATTCCATGGGTTGGTCGGCGTCGCCACCAGCGTCGTCGCCGCCGGCGGGGTCGTGCCGCGGTCGTTTGACCCGCGGGCCGTCGTGCGTAGCATGGGAACTCCCAGTCCCAGAAGGGACATGCTGTGGGGACCTTGCCGAAAGTGACGAGGGCGCAATGAAGCTGGAAGAAACGCCATCATTCCCAGAAGAGGCCTGCCGTAGGTGTTGGTGGCGAAGAAAATGAAGCCAGAGTTCCACCGTGCCCTGGAGAAAACTGCGTCCGCAGCCGCTTACCATGTGGATCATCAGCGGTAAATTGAGAGGCCGCCGTTGAGGCGTGAGCGTCTGCTGAGAATTTTAATGAGCATCTGAAGCATTGATTCGAATTCGTTTCGTTGCCGTGGGCTGGCACGTCGGAGAGGCAGATGCGTTCCTGGATATCGTCCCTCGATGGGGCATTGCCTCCCCCTTGGAGCGGGCCCCGTCAGCTGCTGGAGGCAGCAGCGGCAGGCCGTCGGCGGACGCGTCGGCGTGGCTCTGGCGAGACATCCTGGTGATGTAAGTCTGGCGGCCGTAGAGCAGGCACTGTTTCTCGTAGTGGCCAGGTTCTGCTTCCCGTTCAGCCGCACGTCCGCGCGACTTCCCGTAGGCTTCCTCGAGGGAGCTGTCGGCCCTGGCCTGCCCGAGGAGGGTGCGGAGAGCTGCTCGTTGGGCCATGCCGTCAGGGCGCTTCTTGCACACCGTGTTCTTGAAGCAGGCGAGCGGGAGGCTCCTGCCGCAGCGAGAACAGGTGTAGTTGGTGGTCTTCATGCGCGAGAGCTGGGTCGTGCACGCGGAGGCCTCGCCGGGGTCGCAGATGACGCCCCGGGCCTGCTGGGCCAGCTCCTTCTTCCAAGTGGTAGATCGTTGCCAAGCTGCGAAGCGTTTTCCTTCATTCATGGCGTCGGTCGCAGAGCCTCCGACTCCCGAACGAGCGCGTCGAGCTTCCAAAGGCTCTTTGGGAAGGTCCTGTCCTTGGCAGTAGCGCTAATGGACGCGGGCCTCGTTGCGCATCTCGTTGACCGTCTTGTTCAGGATGTTGGGCTTCCAGCCACATTCGCAGCGCCAGTAGGTGTAGGCGTCGTAGCGGGGGCACGTGGGTGCCACCGGTGGGGTCACGGCGTCGTCGGGATCGCCCGCGATGCTGGGGAGTTGTCGCATGTCGGCGGCGCCCGCCTGGGAGGGGGCTTTTTACGACGTCTGTAGGGTCAGGATGCTGCGCGCCCCTCGGCTTGAGAGGCGTCTTGGCTGCTGAGTCCGAGTAGCATTTGGCGAGGTCACCGATGGCGTCTCCAAGTTGAGCAAGCTGCAGAGACCACGTGATGACGCTGATTTGGCCTTCCCCCCGCTGGTGAAGTGGTGGGGGCATGGGCGAGAGGACGTCTTCCACTCTTCTTCTGTGGGTGGCGGCAGGGGGGTCGCATTCGTGAGGAGCTGGTAGCGGCCGTCGACGAGCGCGAGCCATGCCCTGCATGTTGTCGTGATCGACGTAGGTGCTGCGAACGGCCCCCAGCCTGACGTAGTCTTCTTCCAGACAGCGAAATTCGTCTTGAGGACCTTGGCTGCCGTTTCAATTGCCTTGGAGGTGGTCCAGGTCCCGGCGGCGCCTTGGGCCGCGGCCTCGGGACGTTTCTGCTCTGGGAGCTCGGACGCCACCGCCTGTCGCATCTGCGCCTGGAGTCGACCACCTGGGGCGAGGTCGGCGTCGGCGAGCGGCTTGGCGTGAGCCTTGGACGTGTGCTTGAAGTAGCCAGTGCAGCAGTAGAAGCAGTTTCCTTTGCCGCCGCACTCCTTGGCCGTGAAGTAAGGCCCCCATGGACATGGGGCAGGGGCCGCAGGGGCCGCAGCAGCTACTGCTCGTCCTGTGGCCACCTTCTTGCGTTTGCCCTGCTCGTCAGAGCCGTCGTTGTTGGCAATTTCCTCGTCCTCCTGCTCTTCCGGCGCCGCCGGTGGGAGGGGGCGCTTGTGGGAACGGTCTGGCTGGGCTAGGGGTGCCCCAGGCCGTCGTCGGAGCTATCGTAGGCGTGGGCCTTGCTTGTCCTCGTCGGGGTGGCGCGAGGCTGACCAGGACCCCCGAGGAGAAGGAAAGCACTTGGTCGTTGGCGATGGCGGCCAGGTCGCCGCGAAACCATAGGCGAGCCCCAGCGCGGACTATGTGGGAGACGTTCTTGAAGCCTCGGCGCGTGGCCCATTCGCTCACCTCCTCCTGTGACGAGGCAGGGTTGGTGCGCTGCAAGAGCCAGCGAGGTTGGACGTCGGCCGCCACGACGCCCTCCGCGAGGATGCCGAGCGACGAATTCCCCGAAGGGCGGTATACCATGCGGCCAGCGGCGGCCGTGGTGGCCGCCAGGACGCGCTTGTAGTAGGCGGCGTTGGTATCGTCCTCCCGAAGCTTGTGCCGGATACTGCCGGTGGCTTGGTCGGATCAGACGTGCGATCCTTCATGGCATTGGTTGGCCAGACTCGCGCTGCACCCCATGTGCTGGGCGCCAGCTTCTGGTAGCGCTGCGCGGGCTGAGGCGTCGGAGTCGGTGGACTGGCGCCAGCTGTGGTGGTATTAGTCGAAGGAGGAGGGTCGCCGATCAGCGAGAGCAGCGTGTCCGTCACTTCCTTCGCCGTGGGAGTGTAGCCCTGCCGGTCCACCTTCCTGATGAGGCGGCGCAGCTTCGTCAACACTAGGGGCTCTCTGCGTCGACGTCTAGTTGGAGTGGTAGGTTCAGGCTTCCCCCCTCGAACCTGGGCTGCCAGGTCGCGAACTGAAGCCCGCAGTTGGGAAAGTTGGAGCTGGAAATCTTCAGCCAGGGCACCCCGCCCCCGCTGAGCTCGCAGCCCGCCCCGTCCTCCGCCTCCAAGAAGTGGGTCAAAACATTCGTGAGGGTAGTCGGCCTCGACGTCGCTGGTGTCGTCGGTGGCCGAGGCGACGTCCAGATCCTCGCCGACACAGTCGTAGAAGGTGGGGTCGCCGCTGCAGGTGTCTTCATCGAAGGAGGAGCGTTCGCAGTGTTCTGCCACGGCGGGGGCCATCCCGTCTACACCACGTAGGAGGTACACTGCATCGTAGACGATGTTTCGACTATGTTTGACATTATTGAGTATGTTGTGTTATATATATAGACACGTAAGAATAGTTTTGGTACTACTACTACTACTACTACTACTACTACTACTACTACTACTACTACTACTACTACTACTACTACTACTACTACTACTACTACTACTACTAATACTACTTCTACTACTACTACTACTGCTACTACTACTACTACTACTACTACTACTACTACTACTACTACTACTACTACTACTACTACTACTACGATCCTACTACGTCTACTACTACTACTACTACTACTACTACTACTACTACTACTACTACTACTACTACTACTACTACTACTACTACTCGACTACTACGACGACTACTACTACTACGACTACTACTACTACTACTACTACTACTACTACTACTACTACTACTACTACTACTACTACTACTACTACTACTACTACTACTAATAATAGAATAATAATAATAATAGTAATAATAACAATACTAATACTACTAATACTAATAAACATAATACGTATTATTATTAATCATAATACAAGAATCAGAAGAATAATACTAGTCATACGTATACCAAGAATCCTACTAAGAACAATGATAATGATAGTACTAGTATTAATAATGGAAACAACTCTTCCTCCAAAGTCCGCCTGTAGGGGGACATGCCCAACCTAAGACTAGGTCCAGGGGGAAATCCACCGTGAAGTTTTTTTCCGTGAGCGTGCCCTGGCCGTCGGCCTGCAGTCGCACGTCGCCGAGGGCCAATTGCGCTGCGAGTGCGGCAGCGGTTGCCATGGGAAGCAGCAGCTGGCGAGGGCGAATGATGCGGGCAATTCTTCTATCCATATCCAGGGCGTCTTGGACTTTCTTGGAAGGGGCGCCGCAAGGCCGAGGCGCACAGGATATCGGAAAGAGCGGGTTCTACCGCTGCTGGCGGAAAACGGGGGGGGTCACTACCGGTTCGAACCCCTCCCCCCCCCTCCCTTCCGGAAAACCGGGGGGGGTCACTACCGGTTCGAACCCCTCCCCCCCCCCCAGTTCATCATGAAAAGGAGGGCGGGGTCACTACCGGTTCGACCCCCCCCCCCTTTCCCTTTCGAAAACCGGGAGGGGTCACGGGTTCGAGCCCCCCCCCCCCCCCTCGAAAACCGAGTGGGGTGCGGACAGTGGTGGGGACGGTGTTGGTGGGGACAGTGGTGAGGGGATAGCGGGACAGTGGTGGGGACAGTGGGACAGTGGGACAGTGGTGGGGACGGTAGTGGTGGGGACAGTGGTGGGGACAATGGTGGGAACAGGGGGGGACAGTGGACAGTGGTGGGGACGGTGGTGGTGGGGACAGTGGCGTGGGGACAGTGGGAATGAGGTAGAAACAGTGGGACAGTGGAGAGTACAATGGTGGTGGGGACAGTGGTGAAGGCGGTGGCGACGACGGCGGTGGGACAATGGGACAGAGGTACAGTGGGGACAGTGGTGGGGACAGTGGGGACAGTGGTGGGAACAGTGGGACAGCTCAGTGGGACAGCGGAGGAGTCAGTGGGACAGTGGGGACAGTGGGGGGGATAGTCGGGCAGTGGTTGGGTCCGTGAAGACAGTGAGGAGAGTGGAACCGTGTGGGGAACAGTGGTGGGAACAGTGGTGGGAACAGTGGGGACAGTGCGACAGTGGTGGGGGCACTGGTGGGGACAGTAGGGACGGTGGTGGAACCAGTGGGGACAGTGGTGGTGAGGACAGTGGCGCTGGGAACAACAGTGGGGGATGTGATGCGGACGGTGGTAGGGACCAGGAGTCGTTTGCTGGCGGTGAGTGGGGCGAGGTGGGGAGGGATTCGAACCGGTAGTGACCCTCCCTCCGGTTTTCGAAGGGGGGGGGGTTCGAACCGGTAGTGACCCCCCCCGGTTTGTCCCGGATCCCGAGGCGGAGGGAGGCTCTCTCGCGAGCAGGTAGTTGCCTCCCGCCGCCCCTCTCCTGTCTTGTTCGAGGGGGAGGGGGCGGGGGGGGGGGGGGGTTAGGGGATGGGGGGTTTTGCCAGGGTGAGGGGGGGGGGGGGGGGGAGGGGGGGAGGGGTTAGGGAGGGGGGGGGGGATTTTCGGAAAGGGGGGGGGGGGGGCGACCCCGGGCTCCGGACGAAAAGGTTGGCAATTTTCCACAGTAAAGTGGCGGTGGAACACGCGGAGGGGGGGGGGGGGCGACCCCCGGGCTCCGGACGAAAAGGTTGGCAATTTTCCACAGTAAAGTGGCGGTGGAACACGCTCTCTCCTCGAGAAATATCGAGCATTTGTTGGGCCAGTGTGTAATCCATATGTCCAGTGCGCCTCATGTTTCCGGAGAAGAGAACCCGAAACTTCAAAACGCTCTGGATACGGATACAGAAATTGCCCGCAAAGGAAGGCGAGGAGGCGGAGCAGGAGGATCGCCATGAGGAACAAGCGGGGCCATTCTTGGCCCGAGGATCGAGGGTGGAGGTGCTCGAGCGCTTCACAATCTTGCTTGGGCCTTCCACTGGGCGGAGGCAGCGCGGAGAGAAGGTGTCCCGATTGAGAGGTGTCCTTACAGTGGAGACCCATGCCAAGAAACGCCCTGCTTGCCTCCAGGGTGCCCTGGGTTTCCTGGGTTTCGATGGCTCTGCTGTGGAAAGCGCGACCTTCCCGCACCAAGCGTCAGTGGACGTCCTGGAGTCTCGGGGTTGGATTTCTCTGAGAAGATCTCTTGTGGACCGGCCTCCACTGCAAGGACGAGGTGCCTCAATCAATAAACATAAACTTTTGGCGCTCCGCGCGGATTCCTTGGGTCTGCGCTGGGGCCCACACGGCGGCGCCTTCGGCGCCGCCCCCGGCGCGCTCCTCGCGCCACGGAGGGGGGTCCAGCGCCGATCCAAGAAGTCTGCGCGGAGCGCCAAAAGGTTCTGTCCGTGCAGGTTGTCCTGCTTCTTGTAATTATCCTTAGGCTGACGAGCTCTGAGGGCCAGAGGTGGCCGCTCGTGGACCGGCCTCCACTGCAGAGGGTCCTCGGGGATGGACAGACCCCCCACTAGTAAAACGTGGTTTAGTGAAAACGACCTGAGGCCCAAACCGGGCGGGCGCAAGCCTGGAAAATAACGGACACGGCGCCCTCTCGAGAACTGAAAACGGACAATTCACTAATCGACGCGTCACTGTCGGGGGCTCTGTCCACCCCCGAGGTCCTGCCCTCTGGGCCCCGGGGCCGCCGAAGACGGCGCGGGACGCCACGCCAACCGAGGGACGGGGCGCTCCGAGGCGGGCGGCGCGGCAGGCCGGCCACGCACGACATCGGCGGCGGGGAGCAGGAGGTTCGAGAAGTTGCGACACGGAGCTCTCCTGAGGGGGGGTGGGGGCAGGGAGGAGAAGGAGGAGGAGGAGGAGGAGGACGACGACGACGACGAGGAGGAGGATTATGAGGAGGAGGCGGAGGAGGAGGACGACGAGGAGGACGACGAGGAGGATTAGGAGGATGAGGATCAGGAGGAGGAGGAGGAGGAGGCGGAGGGGGAGGAGATGGAGGAGGAGGAGGAGGAGGAGGAGGAGGAGGAGGAGGAGGAGGAGGAGGAGGAGGAGGAGGAGGAGGAGGAGGATTATGAGGAGGATTATGAGGAGGAGGAGGAGGAGGAGGAGGAGGAGGAGGAGAAGTCAGCTCGAGCCGAAGGCCTCCCGTCGTGACCTCGCGACGCGAGGGGGGCTGGGCCGGGAGGAGCGGGGCGGCTCCGCGCGCAGCCATTCGGCCCCCGGGGCAGCTGGGGCGGCCCGCCCGGTGCTGGCACAAGGCCGCGCCGGCTCGCCGCAGCATGGGCAGGCTGGAGGGCAGCGAGGCCGCTTCCAGATCGCTGCTGCCCAGGCTCGACTGCATCACTGTGGCTAGTCACCACCCACCAAACCACCCCGACCCAACCCGAAGGCTTCAATTTGCCCTCCATTTCCAGTGGGGGGAGGGGTCGGGGGACATGGAAAAAACACAGGGAACCCGTACCCCCCGTAACCCGAAATGCGTGTCAAACTCGGGTCTTCGAGTTGGGTTGGGGTGGTCTGGTAGGCAGTCCACTAGAGTTTCGTTCGATCTGTCTTCGCCAAGGGCGCATCCGCGCGGAGCAGTCCGGAGTAGATCTTGCTCCAACTGCTCCGCGCGTGGGCGCATCCCGCTCGATGGTTCATAGGGTTTGGCGCGGTGCAGTTTCAGATCCGGTTTTGGGGTAGCAGAGTTATCAGCATCAGGCGGATCGGAAACTGCTCCGCCGAATGGCGCAGCCGTCATGTCATGCTTGGAACCTTTAGAGCGATGTCAGCATTATGGCAAATTGAAGAAACTTTTTGTCACGGCTGTGTACACGTAAGAATGACCCTTCGCCAGAGTGACCTTTGGTGCGGGCCCAACGCGATGCGATCGTAGCGTCCTGCGCGCTTGTGTTTGGCCCCCCCGCCGCCCTCAAAAAGCCTCTCAACCAAGGTCACTCTTGCCCAGGGTCGCTCTGACGTGTAGCGCCGACAGGTGTCGGCGGGAGCTGCAGGTAGCGTCGCGGAAGCAGCAGGTCGCCATGCAACAAGCGGGGTCCTGAGGGAAACGGGTCCTTCGAGTCGGACGGAGGAGGAGGAGGAGGAGGAGGAGGAGGAGGAACAGGAGCAGGAGGAGGAGGAGGAGGAGGAGCAGGAGGAGGAGGAAGGGGAGGATGTCGAATGAGGGGACTACGAAATCAGCGGCACGCAGCTGGTTTCGGCCCTGCCGTCGGGCGCTTTCCTCGATTCATTGGTGCCTCCAGCGCCAGGAGACTTAGCTATGCTCTGCTAGCCCCCCTCCGTTCGTCTGGCCCGAGTCTTGCAGGTTGTTCCTCGCACTGGGAAGCTGGCTTGTCCAGCCCTGGTGACCTCCTGCCAACGGCTTCGGGCTCATGTTTTGCTAGCGCTGCCCACTTCATGTTTTTCTGAATCTCCAAGTTGCACTGTTTCCAGCGTCTCTGTAATTATTCGGGAGGGCCCTTCCGGGACCCCAGGAGGGTTACAAACGGCTCGGGATGAAAAGCTGGTTTGGGGGGAAGCTTCCCGCGGTCCAGGACTCGGGCAGGCCTGTCGGGACAATTCGCTGCAGAGCGTTCCGGAACGCTTTCAGAGCGTCCGAAAAGGCCGCGGCGCCCTGTGCATGCCCCCAGAGCCGCAGGCTCTTACAGATTCCCGATGTGTCCCGATGTGTGTCCCGATTTTGCCTTCGCCTCCAGGGCCCGTTTCACTCGCCGCCCGCCCCCTCCATGGCAAGTGCAGGGCGGCCTGTCTCCGCCCGCGCTGGCGCTGGGCTGCTGCCGGGGCGGTGCGCAGAGCGAGTCCCTCAGGAACGAGGTGCACCGGTTTACCGCGGGGCCTGACCTGCAGCTGCTTACGAGATGCAGGCTCGCGGAGGGGCAGACCACCGCACCACGTCTCCTTTCCCGCCGGAGGTCCAGGCGTGCGGCGAGCTGCCTGCGGGCCCAGAGCGACTTCCCCAGGCAGTGGTCGCACTGTTGCTTCGTCAGGGGAGGAAAAGGTACCCATACCGCTACCCTTGCCTCGCTGTTCTGTTTTTGGCCTCCCGGGAGGCCCTTGTTACCACCGCCGGCTTCGCCTCGAAATCCTGGTCAGAACCTCCCAGGAGAGGGCCTCTGGGGAAGCTGTATCTGTACCTTCGCGTTGCCCCCATCAGGGCGTCTCGTTTCTCTTGCTGAGTGATTGGGAGGGCCCGCCGAGGTTTCGCCACGCTCGCGCCCGTGCCGCCTCCGTGGGCGCTCGTGGGCGCCCCGTGCCTCTGGCGGGCAACAGCTTGCACGGCATGGCTGGCACCCCATAGCAGCTTGCCCAACGTGGCTCACACGACTGACACCTAGATAATTCCACAGCACAGAGGTCACGCCGCATCGCTCACACTGCATCAGCTTACACAACATGGCTTAACCACATTGCGTTCATAGCTTAGCTTTCACCTCCAGAGTGCAGTAATTCACTGCTTGGGGTCCACGCTGGCTCACGTGCGCTGTGGTCGAACGCCTTCTGGGACACGCAGCGCTCGGCAGGACGCAAGCGTGGGGGGCGGGCAATAAGTCATGGGGGCAGTTGGTGCATGGGCCCCCGCTCGCAGTCACCAGGCCCCCGCCCCTCTCCGCTGGGGGCGGGTGAGGTGATGCTAGGCGGCCTTGGCGGCACCCGAGGTCCGAGGAGACGAAGGACGGGTTCGCGGATGTGCCGCCCACCGGCCCAGGCCTTGAGGACGGCTCGGTGCGATCCCACCGCGTGGACAGCGGCGAGGAGGGGAAGGATTCCTCCTTCCTGACAACGACGACCGAGGAGCCAGCAGAGTTCTTCGACTGCGACGACGCTGCCACGCCCGCTTCCACGCCCGACGCGGTGACGTCGGACTCTGCCAGGTCGCATCCAGACGCGGCGGCTGCCCAGGACACCAGAGCCATGTGGCAGATGCTGCACCAGTTCCTCGCCCGGGCGGACGGGCCTCCAGAGAAGCCCGAGCCGGCCCCCTGCGGCCTCAGGAGGAGCTCCAGCGTCCCGACCAGCTGCCAGGTGCTGCAGGACCCGCACCGCCAGGCGTCAGACATCAGCGCGCTGCTGGCGCGGGGCTGGGAGCGCCCGGAGGAGGTGCGGCGCCTGCGCCACGAGCTGCGGAGGCTGCAGCAGCGGCTGGGGGCCGCCGCGGACCTCCTGCGAACACTGGCGAGCCCCACCCGTTGGGTCCAGCCGACGCTGGGGCATCGTCGGCTACGCGTGAGAGTGACCCGCCGCCAGAGTCACCGAGCGCTTTCCGCTGCTCGCAAAGTGCCTATTCGCAAACGCCCGACAACACACATGCCTGCTTCGATGTAATTCATCGTAGATCCCCCGCTGCGGACCCAGGCGATTTGCGAGTAGCTACCGTGCGAGTAGCGGAGCGCGCTCGTCTACAGAGTGACATGTGATGCGGGCTCACAGGGGGCCCCCCAGCACCGACCTGAAGCGGCTCACCCGTTTGGAGTCGGCACCCCAGGTAAGAGGACCAAGGACCGAGCTTGTCTGTTGGTTACTCGTATACGTGTAGCCGACAATGGCAACCATCAGATTCTGAACCCCCGCCCCGCTTTTCTAGAAGTTGGCGGCCTGCAGGGGCAGGGTTAAGTCGGGCCTGTCCCTCTACAGGGGGAATGCTCAAAAATAGTCAAAAACATAGTCTGGGGAGGATTTCCAGGGTATTTTCGTTTGACCATGTGGGGTATGTTTTAGCTTTAGTTTTAGTATTCTTATTAGTTTGAGTATGTGTAAAATTATTATTCGCATGATGATTCACATTATGTTTGAAATTGCTATTATTTTAAATATTGGTATTATTACTAGTATTGGTAGTATTGGTATGATTATTATTATCATCATCATTATTATTAGTATTATTATCATCATTAATACTAATATTATGATTAATGATAAGTGATAACATTATTACTCTTACTATTGTTATGTTCCCCGCCCCCTCAACTATCTGCCTGTAGGGGGACGGGCCCGACCTAAGGGTAGGGTTCACGTGCGCGGCCCGCCCGTCGGGCGACGAGAGCTGTGCATGTGCACGGGTCCTGGGCACGCCCTGTCCCTGGGCTCGGGGCCGGTGCTCGCGCCTTCCTCTGGCCACGCCGGGGGGGGCGCAGGATCGGTGCACGTGCCTCGTGCCCCAGCCCCGTGCTTCTGGGCCTCCCAGGTGGGGTCCAAGCACGTGGGGTCAGGCGACCCCTCCTCCTCCTCCTCCTCCTCCTCCCGTCCTCCGCCTCATCCTCCCTCCTCCTCCTCCTCATCCTCCTCCGTGTGGACTCGCCCACCTCTTGGGGTGTGCCTGGGCTGCATTAGCGTGGATGTTACAACATCCTCCTCCTCCTCCTCTTCCTCCCTCCTCCTCCTCCTCCTCCTCCTCCTCATCCTCCTCCTCCTCCTCCTCCTCCTCCCTCCTCCCCCCCCTCCTCCTCCTCCACCTCTCCTCCTCCTCCTCTCCTCCCCCTCTCCTCCTCCATCCCTCCTACTCCCTCCCTTCCCTCTTCCTTCCTCCTCCTCCTCTCCTCTCCTCTCTTGCTCCTCCTCCTCCCTCCTCCTCTGCCCTTCTCCTCGTCCCTCCTCCTCCTCCTCCTTCTCATCCCCTCCTCCTCCTCCGCCTCCGCACTCCTCCTTTCCTCCTCCTCCTCCTCCTCTCCTCCTTCCCCCCTTCCCTCTCCTCCACCTCCTCCTCCTCCTCTCCTCATCCCTCCTCCGCCTCATCCCTCCTCCTCCTCCTCCTCTTGCCTCCTCCTCTCCTCCTCCCTCCTCCTCCTTCTCCTCTCTCCTCCTCCTCCTCCTCCGCCCTCCTCCTCCTCGTCCCTCGCCTCCTCCTTCTCATCCTCTCCTCCTCCTCCTCCTCCTCCTCCTCCTCCTCCTCCTCCTCCTCCTCCTCCTCCTCCTCCTCCTCCTCCTCCTCCCCCTCCTCGCCCTTTCCTCCTCGGGTCGCCTACGGCCCAGGTGGAAAGCATCCAGGTCAGAGTAGGTGAGGTCGGAGGATCGCGCCCCATCGCCGATGCATCGACGATGCCGCTCGATGTGGAGCCCGTGTGTTCCCACGTCGACGTCGCGGATGCGTCGCCGATGCATCGCCGCTACATCGCCGATGCATCGGCGATGCATTGGCGATGCGGCGCGATCCTTCGACCTCATCTGCTCGGACCCCATCTAGGAGGCCTCTAGTTTTAAGTCGGGCCTGTCTTTCTACTACAGGAGGAAAATTCAAAAATAGAAAAATAGTATGTGGACGAGTTTCAACTCTCGTCTTCCGTTTCTGAATATTTTTGTTTGCGTATCTTTTATTTTTCTTCCAAGATCCGCCCGTAGGGCGACATGCCCGACCTCACTCTACAGAGGACCACCGCTGGGGCATCACCCCGGGCAGAGGCGCGCCCGACCTCAGCCCGGTCCAGGACCGCAGCGCCCGCGGCGGCCCGCGGTGGGGCAGCCCGCCGCGGCCCGCGGCGCCGCGCGGCGCCACGCCGCGTGGCGGCCAGCGCAGCCCGCCGCGCGGCGCCAGCCCGCTCCAGGGCAGCGCACGCGGCAGGGGAGGCCCCGGGGCAGCGCAAGGCGCGCGGCGGAGGCAAAGGGCACGAGCGGCGAACACACCCACGTGCACGCTCCCCGGACCCCCTCGAGGAAGGAAGAAATATTCGGGGGCGGAAAAGAGGGGGGTGATGACTAGGGGGGGGGATATCATGGCGCGGGCCATGAGATTTCCCCAGATCTCATGGCGCCTCTTCTTGTTTCATTACGTCCCTGGCCCCCCCGCTGGGCCGCGCACATGCCGCTGGTCATGATTTGGACCCCCCCCTCTTGCCCCTCTTGGACACCCCCCTCTTGGCCGCTCCCGAAATAATGGCGGGAGGTTTTCCACTATTTTCGGAAACTGGGGGCCCTCACCGGGCCTCGGGGCCGTCGAGAAACGGTTCGGGACGAAAAGACAGGTCCCGGGGATGAGGTCGAAACTTCGGGGGTCGACGCAATGAAGAAATCATGACGTCGGGGGTATGGGTCTCGCGAGCTGGGTAGTGCGCGACTTCGTGGAGACGCTGTCTCCTTTCCCTAGCATCGCTCGGGCGTGTGCATCTGTCTCCGCGAGCACCATCCAGGAGCGTCTTTGGGCCACCATGCGGGAACATTTGAGCGCGCGAGGTCGGCAAAATTGCCCAGGGAGTGGACGTCCGTGCGATGGCCAGAATCGTGCCCGCGCCCCCGCGGTCTGGCTTCCAGTGCGCGACCCCGCAGACCAGCGGTCGCAGGGATACGCGCGGGCACCCGCTAAATATAGCATTAGGTCGGGCATGCTAGGCCCTACAGGCGCATTTGGTACGAAAACTGAAAACTACGAAAGAGACATTCCAGGATGGTCAGAAATAGCCAGGACATCGTCCCCAGACTGTGTTTTTTACAATGTTTTGAAGATCCCCCCTGTAGAGGGACAGGCTGGACTTCAGTGTAGCACCCCGCGGCCCCCGCGGGCCCGGCCGGCCCGTCATTGCAGTGATCGACTGCAGTCAAAAACCCGAATAAGGACGCGCGACGTTGCTCAGGGTACCCTTGCCTCCTTGCTCTTCCTTGCTCTTGCGTCCTTGAGGTGTTCGTCGTCCGCCGCCCCCAAAATCCCAACCTCGGCTTCCAAGGGTCTTGCGTCCTTGCCGCGCGTCCTTATTAGGGTTTTTGATTGTGCAGCTATGAGGCTCCAACCTACTTTAGCCTTGATCACCAGGAAGATTGTCGAGCGCCACCAAATAAGTACCGAAACTCAAGGGTTTTCACGCGTCGGGCCCTGGGGGACACTCGCCCGACACTCTTTCGACACTGTTTCGACACTCTCCTCCGGGGCGCCACAGAGGGGGGTGATGACTACAGTTACGTCGGGCGCGTCCCCCTATAGGGGGATTTTCGATGACAAATAACACATACCCCAAAAAATACCCCGAACAAAATCCAAAAATACTCTCAAAATAGTCCCCAGATTTTTATTGGGATTATTTTTGGAGCATTGTGGGGTTATTTTTTATTTTTCGCCGAAAATCCCCCTGTAGGGGGACACGCCCAACTTACGACTACAGTGAGGGCGCGCATCAAGAAACCATCTCTTTTTCGTCAGGGTACCCTGGGTTTCTTCGCTCCGCGCGCGCGCTGCGCGGTGACTCCCCGCGGCCGTCGAAGAAGCTGCTGCGTTCAGGGTGCTCCGGGCTTTCCCTCAGGTGCACCTCGCGCGCGGGTTCTCAGGGTTGAGTTTCTTGCGAGTGTTTCTTGCGGCCGCGCGCGCACAGTAGGGGGGGGAGATTTCATGGCGAAGGCCATGACATCTCTCCCCAGATTGCATGGCGCCCCCTCTTCTTCCATTGCGTCCCCGGCCCCCCCCCCTCCCCGGGCCGCGCACATGCCCTCGGCCATGAGTTGCACCCCCTTCTCTCTTGTGGACGCCCCCCTCTTGGCCGCCCCCCATCTCGGTGCCTCGTTCAGCTCCAGCGCTGGTGCAGCCAACTCTGCCCCGCCGCCGACGGGATGCGCGTTCTCGGCGGGGAGGCTCGTCGGAGGCGCTGGTGATGGGAGCCCCTGGACACATGCAGCTCGTCAACCACGCGCAGAGGGGGGTGAGGGGAGGGGGGAGGGCTTCTTAGAAGCACCCCTGCTTCTTAGAAGGTGCGGGCCTTATCTGTAGATGTAAGGCCAGCGCCTTCTAAGGAGCAGCCTGCTGCTAAGAAGCCCTCCCCCCTCCCTCCACCCCCCTTGAGCGCGCCGCCAATTAGCTCCAGCGCTGGTGCAGCCAACTCTGCCCCGCCGCCGACGGGATGCGCGTTCTCGCCGGGGAGGCTCGTCGGAGGCGCTCGTGATCGGAGCCCCTGGGACTCATGCAGCTCGTCAACCACGCGCAGAGGGGGGTGAGGGGAGGGGGGAGGGCTTCTTAGAAGCACCCCTGCTTCTTAGAAGGCGCGGGCCTTATCTGTAGATGTAAGGCCGGCGCCTTCTAAGGAACAGCCTCCCAGGAAGCCCTCCCGACTCCCTCCACCCCCCTTGTGCGCGCCGCCAATTAGCTCCAGCGCTGGTGCAGCCAACTCTGCCCCGCCGCCGACGGGATGCGCGTTCTCGCCGGGGAGGCTCGTCGGAGGCGCTGGTGATCGGAGCCCCTGGACTCATACAGCTAGGGCGGAGAGAACTATGCACGTGCACCGATCCTGCCCAGGCACATCCTGGGCCCCTAGTCGGTGCACATGCCTCCCTGGCCAAGCCAGGAGGGTGTATGCGCTGATCAGGGGCTCAGAATGGTCCTCGGCAGGACTGATGTAATTTGCAAGGGCGCCCTCGGAGGGGGGGAAGTAGTTCTCGCTTTGCGGTCCGGCTCCGATTCCTCCTCATCCTCCTCTTCTTCCTTTGGGGGGCGGCGCGAGAGCGCGAAGGTAGTCGCGCTTCGCGCAGCGCGTAGTTAGGCACCCTTGCATAGTTCCCTTTCCTTTCTTTAGTCGAATAGGGGGATCGACTACAGAACTGATTCACCCCAGGATTGTTTGTGTTGCCGAATGTACGAAGCATGCGTCGGATTTTCGTGGGTTCGACAACCAACGTACTCACGCATTTTTCCCACAAGTCCGACGAGCAAAGCAATTGTTGTCGCTTCGCGAATCCCCACCAGCCCATCCAGAAACGATGCCCAGAGGAATTGCCTCGATCAGAGAAGTGGGCAGCACACAGAGGAAGCCATTATGAGACATCTTGGGATATCTTGAGCCATCTTGGAGGTCATTTTGGGCTCTCCCAGACGATCTTGGAGTCATCTTAATCCGTGCCCCCCCCCAAGAGGCCTCCATGTGGCTAAAACCTGTGTAGAATCAATGATTAGGCATTCTCGCCGAGGCCTCTTGGAGCATCTTGGGTGCATCTGGGGGGGCTATTGGGGCCTCTTGGGGGTCTCTTGGGGGCCTCCGGGGGGCCTCTTGGGGGCCTCTTGGGGCCATTTTGGGGCCATGTTGGGACCTCTTGGGGCTTCCTGGGCGCTTCTTGGGGCCATCTTGGAGAGAGTCGATCAAACAAGAGGGGGGGGTGAATTAGCGCCCCCCCTCGGAAGCCCCTAAAATCGCCTCTTGGACCCCTCTTGGAACGCTCTTGGAGTGCTCTTGGGCGCTCTTGGGGCCGTCTTGGGGCTCTTTTGGGGCTCTCTTGGGGCCCTCTTGGGCAATCTTGGAGCCATCTCCAGGCCTCGGATGGCCATCGGAAGCGAAAAGGCGAGAAAGCAAAAATCATTGATTTTCCTTAGGTTTTGGGACGATTTTGGCCTCTTCGGGGCCTCCGTGGGGAGCGGTTTGGCCACTTGGAGTTATCTTGGGGCCGTCTTTGGGCTTCTTGGAACCATCTTAGGAGCCATCGTGAGCGATCTTGCGCTATCTTGAGCCATCTTGGAGCTCATCTTGGGTTCTCTGAGGCGCTCTTGAGCCGTCTTGGGCCATCTTGGACGCTCTAAACTACCCGCGCGGCCACCCCGTCCAGGTCAGGGGACGGGCGGTAGGGAGGGGGAAACCCTACCCAAGGGGAAGAGGGGGGGTGGAAGAGGATCTGCTCAGACCACCTACGCCCAGGCGGGCTGGTCGGCCCAGGCGGGCGGGCGCTGGCCTGGATGGCCCTCGGGTGGCTATGCGCTTGGGGGGGGCGTTGGGGGTGCGAGCTCTGGCTGGATCGCGCTTGGGGGGCACCTTGCGGGGGGCGGGGGGCGGGCGGCTCGCCCTGGGGCGGCGGCGCCGGCGTCTGGGGGCTGAGCTGGCGGCTGGTGGGATTTTGGGGCAAATCCATTCTGTAGCCGATCCCCTGCTCGACGCATGTCGTGCCCCACCTGCAGCTCTCCGCCCCTGCCAGCGGCCGCCGAGGCGCGGCGACGCTGGCGGCCCCGCGCACCCCCAGGGCGGCGCGGTCCAGGTCGCCCGGGCCCCTGCCGGACCTCCTCGCGCCGCAGCAGCACCCATCTCGGCCTCCCACGAGGGGCTCGGAGCAGCGGGGGTCGGAGGACCGCGCCGCACCGCCGATGCGTCGCCGATGCGGCTCGATGTGGGGTCCGGCTTGCTCCGCGTCGACGTCGCCGATGCATCGCCGACGTCGACGATGCAGCGACGGTGCATCACCGATGCATCGCCGATGCATCGCCGATGTGTCGGCGGTGCGGCGCGATTTTCCGACCCCATCCAGGAGGCCTCTACCCAAGGCGGGAGGTTTTGGATCACCTTCGGGCCTTTGCGGGCTCCGCGGCCGTCAAGAGGTACGCAGGTCGGGGCCGTCCAAGTGGGGGGGGGAGGAGTGGGGACTACTTGGTGTGGATATTTTGGCGGGGGCCATGATACCTCCCAGAGTTCCTTTCAACATAGTCCGCCCCGCCCCCCCGCTACTCCGCGCACATGCCTCGGGGCATGGTGCGGCCCATCCCCTTCTTCTGGCCCGCCTTGGGCCGACCCGGGTAGGATGAGAAGCCGATCCCTGAGGAGTCCGCAAGAGCGCGCGGGATGAAGTGTGGAGATCTTTTTTGTTCAACAGCCATGGGGTGTTCGATGATTGCACGCTGAAGTCGCAACGAAAGCAAAGGTTTTGGACGGATTTCGTTTCGCGCGCGCATGTGGCCCGCATGGTGATATGTCATAGGGCTCCGTGCGTTCAGCTCATCTTTCAACGCATGTGCACCGCATGGTATTATTTGACAGGGGGGGGGGGCGACGCCGGGACTCGCTGGGATGGCATGAGTTCATGTGGAAAAGAATGTAGGAGACAATATCATATGTGAATTGCGATACCCCAGGGGGGAGTAGTTCCCGGGGTGGTGGTTGGGATAGAATTGAAATTCTGTGACTAAAGGAGAATATACGTGTTGCGCGCTACGTGGCGCAATCCATGTTATGCGTCGTAAGCAATTCAAAGCCATGCAAAGTGCGAGCCTTGCTCGAGCGAGCTCGCGACCAAAATGGCGCGGCGACGAGCGTCGGCGACAGACAGCGACGGGCGGCCACAAGCCAGCCAAAGTGGCGACAGGCCGTTTTGAAGGGACAAGTAAGAACTCCTACATGCAAACAGTGTTTGGGGCATGTACAGTATTTGACAGAGAATCCAAAGAAACCTGGGTACACACCAACTCGTGCTTCGGGGGACGATTGCGGATTTTATGGGTTAGCCATAACCCGGGGGAGCTGCTGTGGCGAAAATCACATGAGGCACTGGTTGTTTTAAACTCCGCCGAAGCTTGCTGGCAAGGGGGCGGAGGGGAGGCGGAGTTTCGATCGGATGTGGGTTTCGCGCAAGTCTGTGATCAGTTGCACATATGTTCGGCCCAGCGCTGTTTGGAAAGTCGGCGGATGGGGGGAAGAGGGGGGCCAGGGCGGAATGCCATGCAAACGAACTTGCCTGAACTTGAAGGGACATGCCCTCCATGTCACGATTCCCAAGGTCCCCAGCCGCTGCGCGCACCCCGAGGGTAAACAGCCATACACCACAGGCTGCACGCCTCGGGCCCGCGGAAGCGAGGCCGACCGAGGATGCCCAAGACGATCCACTTGCCGAGGGCCCGGCACAGCCCGCCGAGGTGAGGGCTGCCGCCCCGGCGGTGCCCAAGTTGGATTTCAGCGGCGTCCTCGGCGGAGCTGGCAAAGGCCAGGGCAAAGCACCCCCGCCAAGCGGCAAAAGCAAGGGCAAGGGTCCTCCTTTCACGAGCCCGCCAGTAAGCGCGCCAGCGTCTCCAGAGGCCTCGTCCCCGTCCTCCTCCGGGGCGGGGACGCCAGAGGCGCCCGTGGCGCTGCCGCGGCGCGGGGGGAAGGACAGCCCACCGCCGCCGAAGGGCAAGGGCAAGGGCAAGGCCAGTCTGCCGCCGCCCCCGCCACCGAAGGCGCAGTCGGTCCCCGGGGCGAGGCCCCTATCGTCCCCAGGGTCCGCCGCCCAGGCGGAGGCGCCCGTGGCGCTGCCGCCGCGCGGGGGCAAGGGTGGCCCACCGCCGCCGAAGGGCGGGGGCAAGGGCCCCCCGCCGCCGCCCCCGCCAGCGCATGCGCGGGTGGCGCCCGAGGCCGCCGAGGCGGGGGCGCCTGCGGCGGTGACGCCGCGCGGAGGCAAGGGCGGCCCACCGCCGCCGAAGGGCAAGGGCAAGGGTTCCGCTGCCAACGCGGCGCCCAAAGCCAAGTCCAAGCCGAGCGTGCCGCTGTTCGGGCGGCGCCTCGACTGGCAGTCGCTGTCCCAGGAAAAGGTCTCCGGCACGGTCTTCGCGGGTTTCAGCGAGGAGGTGGTGGGGGTCGCGGAGGACGTCACGCTGCTGAAGGCGCTCTTCGAGCAGCCGAAGGTGTGTTCCGCCTTGCCCAACAAAGAGGCCACGAGTGTGAAGCCGAAGTGCCTGGAGCTGCTGAGCGCAAAGCGCGCACAAAACATCCTGATCGCGCTCCGGCGGCAGCCGCTCAGCGAGCAGACCGTGGGGGCGCTGGAGCGCCTGGATTTCGAGGGCGTCGGCCTGAGCCCCGAGGCCTGCCAGGTGCTCATGGGCGCGCTGCCGACGCCAGAGGAGAGCGCCCTGCTGGTGCAGCACCGCGAGCGAGCCTCCGAGATGCGCGAGCTGGAACGCACCCTGCTGCCTCTGGCCTGCCTGGAGAAGCCCTCGGTGACGCAGCGGTTGCGCATCGTGCTCTTCGCGCGCACCAGGCAGGGCCGCGTGCGATCCGATTCGATTCGCCGGCTTCGACCGTGATTCTAGGGCCACCACGTGAAGTTAGTTGCACTTCGCGGTCTGGGCGATTTCGGAGCGAGGCGCGAGTCTTTGATCCGGAGGCAGTCCGGTTCGGTTCACCGGCAGCGACCGACGCCAGCCCGAGTCAGGCGCCGGCGATCCGATCCCGGTTCGATTCGGGACGATTCGGGGCAGTTCGCGGGAGATCCAGCATGTTTCCAATCCGATCCGATGTAGTGTTAAGTCGGGCTTGTCCGTCTACAGGAGGAATATTCAAAACTAGTAAAACAATAAACATATAGGGCTACTATTTGTAATGTGTTTGTTTGTTTACTATTTTTGATGTTCAGGATATGTGTAATTTTTCATCCAAAATCCCCCTGTAGGGGGAACACGCCCGACTTAAATTTAGCCAATCGATTCTGCTCAAGTCTGACAGGGTGGAGCTGGCCAGAGACCTGCGGAGCGCCTTCCGAGAGCTGAAGGGCGCATTCAAGGACGCCCGCGCCAGCGCGTCGTTCCGCACGGTGCTGCAGCACACGGCGCACCTTGGCAACGTCATTAATTACGGCGCCGTGAAGGCCGACGAGCGCGTGGCCGCAGGCAGGGTCCATTTCGATCCGATTGCTCCGATTCGCTATCGGCTCCGGCCAGCTCGCACCGCCGATTCCAGATTCCATTCGATTTCGACCCCGTGCCGATGTAGCCCGTTCCGACTCACCTTCCGATTCGATCCGATTGCCCCGATTCGTTGTCGATTGATGATTGATTTTGCCGCAGGTTTCTCGTTGGAGGCGTTGCCGAAATTGTGCCTCTTCAAGTCGGCCAACGACCAGCGCATCACGCTGCTGCATGTGCTCGTCTCGCAGGTCCTGGCCACCAGGCCCTCGCTGCCGGAGGCCCTGCGGGGTGAGCTGGCCAGCCTGAGGGCCGCGAGACGGTGGCAGCTGAAGACCCTGGCAGAGGACGTGGCCATGTATTGCAAGGAGTCGGAGGAAAAAAACGGTACAAGCGTAAAACCAGAGATCCGACGCTCCAAAATATTTTGAGCAGGCGGTTTCTGACCCTTTCCAGACAGGGGCCTTCGCCAGGCCTCGGGAGCGTCAAGAAACGACCCGGGGCGCAAAACTGGTCCCAGGGAAGGGGTCCGGACCTCGGGGGCCCACGCACAGCAGAAATTGGAGCAGCTGGATGTCTGTCAGCCACGCGCAGAGGGGGGTGGGGGAGGGGGGAGGGCTTCTTAGAAGCACCCCTGCTTCTTAGAAGGCGCGGGGCCTTCTCTATAGATGGTAAGGCTGGCTGCATTTAAGAAGCAGCCTCCTTCTGAGAAGCCCTCCCCCCTCCCTCCACCCCCTTGTGCGCGCTGCCAAGTCTGGGAACTCCTGGAGCTCCGCGCGGATCTCTTGGATCCGCGCCGGGGCCCCGCCTCCGGCGCCGCCCCTGGTGCGGCCGCATGCCGGAGGAGCAGGGGGGTCCAGCACCGATCCGAGAGAGCCGCGCAGAGCTCCGAGTGTTGATGCTTCTGCAGCTTCCTCTTCCTGTCAAGGACTGGGGAGACGTAAGACTCGAGTACGTCAGAACTCGGGTTCGCCGACGCTCCTTGGCGAGCGCGTCCTGGAATCTGAGGGTCCAGTTTTCGTGGGATGTTTGCAGCGGAAGCTCGCGTCAAATTTCAGACTGGGTCTCGTCGTCGTTTTCACGATGGCCCCGTCAGGCCAGCCCGAGTCCCGCGAACCCGAGTCTTACCTCTCCCTCACAGGATGGGGGGTGGACAAGCACCCCCACCTTTACACGTCGACTAGTGAATTGTCCGTTCTCCGTTCTCGAGAGGGCGCCGCGGCTGTCACTTTCCAGGCTTGCGCCCGCCAGGTCTGGGCCCGAGGTCGTTTTCACGAAGCCTTAAGTCGGGCCTGTCCCTCTACAGGAGGAAAATTCCAAAACAGTCAAGAAAAGAGTCCGGGGACTATTTTTTCTGACTATTTTTTACCATTCTCGGAGTATTGTTTCCGTATTTTTGAGTTTTTGCCCAAGATGATTTTGTAGGGGGACAGGCCCGACCTAATCAGCGTCACGCCAACATACTTATCCTATATGTGCGTCGCCCCCCCAGGGGCGACTCGCGCACCGAGAAATCTTATAGTATATGCGTCGTGGCGGGCGCTTTCTGGCCACACCGCTCGGGAAACGATGTACTGCCAGATAGGTATACTACATGTTCGGGTCGGACGCGCGCCTCCAAGGAGGACATATAGTATTAGTATGTCCCTGTGCGTCCCACCTCAAGCCAAGGAGGACATGTATAGGGGAACAAAAAGTGACATAAACATAACAACTCGGAGGTCCGCGCGGACTTCTCGGATCGGCGCTGGGGCCCCCCTGGCGGCGCCTCCGCGCCGCCCCTGGCGCGCTCCGCGCGCCGGGGAGGGGGGGCCCAGCGCCGACCCGAGAACGCCGCGCGGACCTCCAAGTTTTTAGGTCTATGCCACCTTTGTGTTCCCCTAACAAGTGGCACGCGTGCCCTGGCTCTTGCACCAAGGAGCTGCTAGAGACAGGAGGCGTTCGTCTCCTTCCTCCAGGAGTTTACTATGGTGGCCGTGGGGGGGAGGACGAACGACGAACGAAGGAACGACGACCACGAACGAAAATGAAGAGGCTCGAGCTCTAGAGCACAGCCGTGCAAGAGAATTAACGTATTAGTATGTCCCTCCCCGAGAGGAGGCGGACCACGTGGCCGCGGTCGTCGGCTCCCTGGAGCCCGCGGAGGGCGCCGAGCTCGGCCGCGGCGCGCCCACGGCGGGCGCCGAGTACGGGGCCCCGCGAGGGCGGGCGGCCGCGCTCGCGGGGGAGGCCGCGGCGGAGGCGGCGGCGCTACGGGCCGAGCTGGCGGAGGTGCGCGAGGCCGCGCGGCAGGCTCGGGCTGGGCGAAAGGGGGGGGATTGGGAAAGGGGGGGGTACGAAATCTGCTGCATGCAGCTGGTTTCGGCTCCGCCGATGGGGCCCATTCCTCGATTCCTCGACACATAGCCGCCTCCGGCGCCGGGAGGCGCCAGGAAAATCAGCTACGCGAGCTGATTCTCAAACCCCCCCTTTGCTATCCCCCCCTTTCGCCCGACCCGACAGGCGCTGGCGTTCTTCGCCGTGCCCGCCAAGCCCGCCGAGCAGGACTCGGGAGAGGCAGGGCGGAGGAGAAGAGGCGGAGGGGGGGGCAGCCGGGGCAGAGAGAAGGGAGGGGCAGGGGAGGAGAGGGGCGTGCGCGCGAGGGCAGGGAGAGAGAGAGAGAGGGAGAGAGAGGGAGAGAGAGAGAGAGAGAGAGAGACTGCCCCGCCGCCGCGCGCCCCGGCTGAAACTGGCTGCCCTCCCTCCCCGCCGCGCTGAGCCAAAACACACGGACGCCGTTCGTCTCGGCGTCGTCGAACCGATCCCCGGCCCCCATGCCCGTCCCCCTGGGGAGCCCCCACCAAAGGACCGCCCCAGTTGGGGGCACACCCCTCGAAAGCCCGAAGGGAGCGACCCATATCCCCGTCTAAGGGGGTACATCGGGCAGTGGGGCCCAGGCCACGCCGCTGGGGATGGGCATCGATTCAACGATGCCCATCATTGTCGATCCCCAGGAAGATATGGGACAATACGGGAAACTTGGGTGGGAAGACGAGAAGCCAGAACATGCACGAAGAGGAGGAGGAGGAGGAGGAGGAGGAGGAGGAGGAGGAGATGGGGAATCCTGGGATCTGCGTCTACTCCAGATTTCGTAATAAAGGGAGGGGGGTCTCATTTCGGGGGGGGTCTCTTCCAGGCTATCTTGGAGGGCCTGGGGGGGTCTGGGGACGATGTTTTGGAGGGTTCTCCTTCGGGGGGAGGTCTGAAATGGCTTGTCTTGGAGGGTCCAGACCCCCTCCCTTTTATTACGAACTCTGGAGTATGTGTTCGTGTGTCCCCGAACCCTTTGGAAGGACAGCAGGGCGCTGGAGCTGCTGGGGCTGCTGGACAGCTTCCGGGACTCCTTCCACGGCTGCGCCCAGGAGCGCGGAGCGAAGGGGCGGCGTGAGCACGGTCGTTCGAGCTCCTCCTCCTCCTCTCTTTACTCCCGTCTCTCCTCCCTCTCCTCCTCCTCCTTCCCCTACCTACTCTCGTCCCTTCTCCTTCTCCTATCCTCCTCCCTCTCCTCCTCCCCCTCCCCCTCCCCCTCCATCTCCTCCTCCTCCTCCTCCTCCTCCTCTTCCTCCTCCCCGCGCAGATTCCTTGGATCAGCCCTGGAGCTCCCTTCCTGGCGCGTGGAGCGCGCCAGGAGCGGCGCGGGAGGCGCCGCCAGGGGGGGCCCAGCGCAGGTGCAGGAAATCCGCGCTGAGCTCCTGAAGATTATGGATGACCGCAAGCGGTCTTGAGTTTTTAAGCCCCCTCCCCCCCGATTCTCTCGGCGGTGAATAAGCCTGGTCGTAAAGCTGCTCATCCTCCCCTCCTCCATTGTTTTTCTTATAGATACCTCTTCCCTGTCGCGGCCCGAGGCTGGTCGAAAGGGCGGGCCGGGCGTTTCGCCTGAGACTTCTCACCACTTATGACCCTGAAGCTCAAACATTGGCAGCAGCTTCACAGATCGAGGGCGTGTGGCTTTCAACATGTGGCTCTCGCCTTGGCGCTGCGCACATTTGTTTTTAACATCTTGCAAGAGTTTGGCGGATTGAGGGCGGGCGGTTTTCAACATGTGGCTCTGGCCTCAGCGCAGCGCAGCTTTATTTTCAGAGTTTGCAAGAGTTGGACGGATTGAGGGCGGGTGGTTTTCAAAGTGTGGTTCTCGCCTTAGCGTCGCGCACATTCGTTGGACACATCCGCAAGACTTTCGCAACAGGAGGGCGGGTGGTTTTCAAAATGTGGTCCTTGCCCCAGCGTCGCGCACACTTCTTCTAAATAATGACAAGAATTTCGGCGGGCGGTTTTCAAAATGTGGCTCTGGCCTCAGCACAGCGCAATTTTTTGAGAGTTTGCAAGAGCTTCACGGATTGAGGGCAGGTGGCTTTCAAAGTGTGGTTCTCGCTTTAGCGCCGCACACATTCGTTTTAAACATCCGGAAGACCTTCACAACTGGAGGGCGGTTGGTTTTCAAAGTTGCCCCCGCGTCGCGCACATTTATTCTGAATAATGCCAATAATTTGACGGATTGAGGGCGGGCGGTTTTCAAAATGTCGCTCTGGCTTCAGCGCAGCGCAACTTTATTTTGAGAGTTTGCAAGAGTTTCACGGATTGAGGGCGGGTGGTTTTCAAAGTGTGGTTCTCGCCTTAGTGCCGCGCACATTCGTGGGACACATCCGCAAGACTTTCGCAACTGGAGGGCGGGTGGTTTTCAACATGTGGTTCTTGCCCCAGCGTCGCGCACACTCATTCTGAAGAATGGCAAGAGCTTCACGGATTGAGAGGGCGGGCGGTCGCGCCAGGCACCACCGCCTTACAACACTGCAAGAGCTTTACGGATTTCGGGCGGCTCGTTTAAGATACAGTCGGGGCCCTGAAGAAGGAACCCTTTTCGTTGGGGAGGGGCTGCGTGTTCCTTAATTAAGTGTTTCGCAGCTCGCCTCAGGTTTTCCTTATGTTTTTGATCGGAAATCGAAGTTTAACTTATAGAAAAAACGGGCCTTGTTCCTCATTTAGGGTTCCTTAGGTCAAGGCCCCGACTGTATGTGGTTCTCGCCCAGGCGCCGCGCACATCCGTTGAACCAAGCGGAAGAGGTGCACGGGTTCCCGTGGGCAGCGTACCAGACATGGTGCTCTGGACGGACTCCGGACTGTACGTGTGCAACAGTCACGTTGCTTCGCGGTGCTGAAGTGCCAGGAGAGGGAGGTATTCTGGCACGGTTCAGGACGGCCCAGACGCAACAGTCAGGTTGATCCGTGGCGCTGAAGTCCCGACAATGGCATGTTGGCATGCTTCAGGGTCTTCCAAGGGTTCCCAACGGGGCAGTTCCCTCAGTGGGAATGAACCCTTTCAGGGGCCTGTGAAGAGGGAGCTTGATTGGAGGGTTTCTTCCAACACCGTGGATGAGTCCTGGGCTTACACTGGTCCTCCTCCTCCTCCTACTCCTTCACCATGGACCATGCTCCTCCTCCTCCTTTTCCTCCTCCTCCTCCTCATTTTCCTCCTCCTCCTCCTTCTTTTCCTCCTCCTCCTCCGCCGTGCTCCTCCTCGCCCGATGAGGTTTCCCTCTGTCGCTGGGCGGGCTGGATCATGTCGGGGGGCTCTTCCTCCCGGGGAATACAGCCGGGGCGCTGAATAAGGAACCATTTTCGTTGGGGAGGGGCTCCGTGTTCCTCAATTGTTTCGCTGTTTGCATTATGTTGTCCTGAGGTTTTCGATGGGAAGTCAAAGTTTAACTTATGGAAAAAGGGGCCTCGTTCCTTATTTAGGGTTCCTTAGGTCAACTTTCCGACTGTACTGCTTTCTGGGCTGCCCCGCACGACAGACGAATCTTGAGCACGTTTGTCCGAGGAAGGCAATTTAGATCGGCACGTTCCATCTGGTCGCGTCTGTGATGAGGTTGCACCCTGTGTCGCTAAACACCTGCAGTCTACATGTACATCTTCAGCGGATGGAGCGCTTCTGAGGGCCCTTTGTGGGGCCTGAGTTTCAACAGTCCTTCCGAGGATGGAGCATATGAGGATCGAGCTTCTCAGAGAAAGCATGCCTGAGGTAGGACTTTTCCGTGATAGTCGCAGTCGTAGTCGTAGTTGTCGTCGTCGTTGTTGCGCGGCAGGTGCCGCGGAACACAAACGATCAGCTACCACCTCTTGGTTGGACCCCAGTCCTTCGATGCGGGCGCCGAAGAATGATCCGTCACACAGTCTTGCGGGCGGGGGGTCCTGAAGACCTTCCTGGAGGCTGTGCAGCTCCCTCCCTCTCCGACAGGAGCTGGCAGCGAACATCCGTTGCCCAGTGTTGCGGGCGGGGGGTCCTGAAGACCTCCCTGGAGGCTGTGCAGCCCCCTCCCTCTTCCACAGGAGCTGGCAGCGAACACCCCCCTAGCGGCGAAAGTCCGCTCGCCGAACGGCTCCGGCGAGCCGGCGGCGCCGGCGCCGGCGCCCCAGACAGAGGCGCCGCCCGCGCCCCCGGCGGAGGCGCCGCCGCCGCCGTCGGCGGACCGCTGCGCGCCGGCCTGCGCGGACGCCCAGGCCCACGCCGTGGCCGCCCCCCGGCAGGAGGAGATCGCCCATGATCGAAGAAGGAGAATCAGAGCGTGAATTGCCTACCCCGCTTTCGCTTCCAGGCAAGACCAGGTCACACCACGCGCCTCCCCGTCGAGCGGCCTGACTAGTGCGGGCCGCAGTTTGGCATCGCTTGGTAGCTCTTGGAAGCGAGGGGGGTCAAAAGCGAGGTAGGTTCGTTTGCCCCCTAGAGAAAGACATAAACTTTTGGCGCTCCGCGCGGATTTCTTGGGTCCGCGCCTGGGCCACCCTCGGCGGCGCCTCCGGCGCCGCCCCTGGCGCGCTTTTTGTTCATTTCTTTTTTTTTTTGTTTTTGACTTTTTTACCTTTTTTTGTATTTGTTTTCTTTCTCTTTCTTTTTTTTTATTTAATCATTTTTTCTTTTTTCTCTTTTATTTTATTTCGTTTTGTCATTTTTGTCTTCTTCTCTTCTCGCGTTTCTTTTTACATTTCTCGTTCCTTTTCCTCTTTGAACTTGTTTTCTTTTTTATTCCCTGTTGTTCCTCTCTTTCATCCTTGGTCCGCGCGCCAGGGAGGGGGGCCCAGCGCGAGTCCAAGAAATCCGCGCGGAGCGCCTGGAGATCATGTTCTTGTTGGTTCTGTTTTCTTTTGCATGACGCAAGTTCAGAAGAAGAGATGCCAATGCTCGTACCCCCTCCTTCTCGCCACGGCTGCAGTCGCCTCGGGATGCTGGCCAGGAAGCGCGCCCCTGGCGAGGTCTGAGAGAAAAAGTTGCGGCGCCGTTGCTGTCGGTGTCCCCCCCTCCACAGACGGGCCCCGGGGGAAAGTCGCGATCCCAGGTTTTTGCTCGTCGTTTTCAGGGGGGGGGGGCGGGGCAATCACAAAGCCGACTCTTGGGATGGAGAGCCAACTCCAGGGAGAAGACCCCCCTCCCGGGTCTAGGATTCGTTCTATCCTTGTCCTTCCGAAGAGATCCGACGTTGGGACGACATGTTCATGGTAAGAAATCACGAGCGGAGCCCTGGACCCAATCTTGTTGTGGCATGTCTCTTCCGGATCGACCCCACCGTTGTGCCCCCCCGAGAGCTCGCCGGTTGATCGCCGATATGAGCCCGGTAGCCCCAGCCTGCCAGTCACGTGCGGATTCACCATCGGGGGCCTGTCGGCGACGTATCGCCCATTCGAGGTCGATGTTTCCCCCCCTGTGCCTATCCCCCGGAGGTAGATAGACCTCCTACCCTGACACGTCGATTGAGGAGTTGGCCGTTTTCGGTTCGCGAGAGGGCGCCGCGGCCGTCCTTTTCGCGGGCGTCCGGATCCGTCGGTTTCGCTTCGGTCCCGGGCCGTTGCCACTGAGGGGAGGTTTGTCAAAGGGAGGCTTGTCCACCGCCGAGATCCCCCCCTGCCGTTGCCCCACCGAAAGTCGGGCGCAGAGAACTATGCACATGCACCGATCCTGACAACGCCCAGCCTTGACCCAGGATCGGTGCAGATACCTTCCCGGCCAAGGTAAGAGGGCGTATGCACCGATCCTGGGCTCAGGATGGGCCTGGCCAGAATTCACCACCCACCATACCACCCCAACCCAACCCGAAGGCTCAGATTTGCCCTCGATTTCCAGTGGGGGGGGGGTCGGGAAACATCGAAAAAACACATGTGGAAGCCTTACCCCCCCCCAACCCGAAATTCGGGTCTTCGGGTTGGGTTGGGGTGGTCTGGTAGGTAGTCAAGAATCGGTGTCTGTGCATAGTTCTCTTCCCTCTAGCAAGAGGAGATGGCGGCGGGCGCCGCGGCGCCCGCGCGGCCCGACCTGCCGCCCGCGGGCGGCGCCCCGGCGGACGCCGGCAGGCGGCCGAGCGGCCTGGAGTGGCTGGGCTCCGCTCGGCGGTGCCAAGGTGGGGCCCCCGAGGGGCGGGGTCCTGCGGTCCCAGACCCCCTCGAGTCATGAAAAAATCACGACGGGAGGTTTTTCACGATTTTCGGCATCTCGGGGCCCTTACCGGCCCTCGGGACCGTCAAAAAACGACTCAGGATGAAAAACCGGTCCCGGCGAATAGGTCCAGACCTCTGGGGGGTCGCGTCATGAAAAAATCATGACGTCGGGGGTCTGGGGGGCGGGGTCTTGCGGTGGAGGCGCACGCCGGTGGGCTTGTCTTTCCACCGCCACCACCGGAAGCTGGAGGGGGAGGGGGTCCTCCTCCTCCTCCTCCTCCTCCTCCTCCTCCTCCTCTTTCTCCCTTTCTCCCTCTCCTACATGTGGTGGTGGTGCCAGAAAATGGGCCCATCACGTGCCAAGATGCCAAGAGACACCTTGCTTGCCTCCAGGGTGCCCTGGGTTTCTTGGGCTTCGATGGTTTCGCTCTACCAAAAATCGATGCACGTCCAGGGGTGGGTTTCTTGTGGAAGGTTTCTGGCGGACTGGCCTCCACTGTAAGGACGAGGTGCCTCAATCAATAAGCATAAACTGTCGGCGCTCCGCGCGGATTTTTGGGGTCTGCGCTGGGGCCCCCTTGGCGGCGCCTCCGGCGCCGCCCCTGGCGCGCTCCGCGCGCCAGGGAAGGGGGCCCAGCGCAGATCCAAGAACTCCGCGCGGAGCGCCAAAAGTTTACGCTTGCTCCGTTTGTCTGTTTCTTCTATTTGGACCCCTTCCTGTCCTAAGGTTAAGTCGGGCATGTCCCTCGACAGGAGGACTATTTGAAAAAGTAGTCAACCAGTAATCGGTGGACTAGTTTTGACCATTCTCTGCATTTCGGGTGTCTTTTCAATTTTTCGCCCAGAATCCCCCAGAAGGGGGACACTCGGGAGGGAAAAATCACACACAGATGCAATTCATCGTCGATCCCCCGGGAAATATGGGAAAATATGGGAAGTGGGGGGGAAGACGGAAACCCAGAGACTGTTCGAAAATATGGAGAATCCTTTTATGTGTGTGTGTGTGTGTCTTTCTTTGTGTGTCCTGGGGCCCCTTCAGACACGCCCGACCTGATCTTCAGGGCCCCATCCCTCATGGCCCCCCCATTTGCACCGCCGATCCGCCGCCGCCCGGGCGTGCGCCCCCGCGGCCGCGAGCAGGCCGCAGGCGCTGGCTCGGGCGACCGCGGTCGCGCGCGGCCTCCTCCTCGTCTTCCCCCTCCTCCTCCTCCTCCTCCTCCTCCTCCTCCTCCTCCTCCTCCTCCTTCCAGCTTGCGCTCGCAGGACTGGCGTTTGCCAGGACTGCTACACGACTGGCGTTAGCCAGGAATCGGTTCAGGGGGGATGTGGGGTACTCGTAGTCCGGCTGCCTCCGCACGACTGGCGTCAGCCAGGACTGCTGCATGGCTGGCGTTAGCCAGAGCCACGCTAGTTCAGGCAGGGTAGGGGCGGTTAACCAGAAGTCGACTTGCGCTCGCAGGAATGGCGTCAGCCAGGACTGCTGCATGACTGGCGTTAGCCAGGAATCAGTTCAAGGGGAGGTGGGGTGATTCGTAGTTCGGCTGCCTCCGCACGACAGGCGTCAGCCAGTACTGCTGCATGGCTGGCGTTAGCCAGAGTCACGTTAGTTCAGGGGGGGATGGGCGGCTGATCAAAGTCCGGCCTGTGTCCACGCGACTGGCGTAAGCCAGGGCGGATGCACGACTGGCGCTAGCCAGGGATCAACTCCCCTGGGGGGGTCGGGGTGAACAACGCATAACGCGTCTTACTCAGGAGGGGTCGGGGCGGCTACGCGGTGGCCGGATTCCGCGCGGCTGGCGTCAGCCAGGACTGCTGCGTGATTGGAGCTAACCAGGCCTCAGCCAGTTCAAGGGGCCGGGGCGGCCAAGGCGAAATTCGGGCCGCTTCTGCATGACTGGCGTTAGCCAGGAATGCTGCATGACTGGCGTTAGCCAGGAATTAGGGGGATCGGGGGACTCAAGCGGACTATTCTGCCGGAGGAAACTCCCGCGACAGCAGACAGCCTCGCCCCCAACCTCCTCGTCCTTCGGTCGTTCGGTTCGGCCCCCGCCGCCGTCGCCGACGCCGCTTCGGCCCCCTCCCGGCCGCCATCCATGTGCAAAATAGGTGGTGGATGCCCCTATACTCCGCCGCCGGTAAACCTATATGTGACGCTAGCGCACCAACTCCCCCATCCTTCGTTTTGCTGCCACTGTTTGCATGGTGCCGTAGTGTGTCATATTTGCTGTGTTGCATCGCACCGCGCGCATGTTGCATTTGCTTCCAGTGTGCTGCATAGCGCTGCGCGTCACTTCGGCGCAACGAAATTCGTGACATGTTCGTTGCGTCTTGCGTTGGGGTGCGATTATTTTCTCCTGCGGGATAACTGCGCCTCCTCGTCGCCGTCTCTGTCGTGATCTCGCTGTTACCATTTCTGCCCCCCCCCTTCTGAAGGGGGCGTGAAAGGGGGGGGGGCCTGCCCAAGATGGGGGGCCGCGGCATGAGGATGTGCTCCACGGACACGCCCAACTCAGCGAGGGCGCTGCCCCTGCAGCCGCCGCGGACGGCGACGTCGTGCGTGAAGCTCCCGTCAGGGGGAGCCAGGCAGAGGCTGGTCGGGAAGAGCGGCCTGGGCAAGGGGACGAGGAGGCGGCGAGAGGCGAAGAAAAAGAGGAGGCAGCGGCGGCTGCTGCTGCAGCTCCGGGGGATGCCATTCCCCCCTCGGCTGCCGGAGGCACTCCTTTTGCCCCAGCCCCAGGGGCGGTGGCAGGCCCGTCCAGGCGGGGCGCGCCGCTCGCGCCGGAAGCGGCTGCGGCCCCAGTTGATACCAAGCACGGGGCAGCCTCCAAGGGCTCAGACGCCTTCGGCTTCGGCGTCGACGACTTCAGCGAGGAGATGGCCCTTGCAAAGGAGCAGCCCCCCGAGAATGCATGCGGGGGCAGCGGGCCGGTCGGCGACGCGGGCCCTGCAGGCCCAGCCGGGGGCGCGGCTGCCAGTCCCCAAAGCCAGGAGGGACGCGTCCCAGGGCACGCGGAGCTGCGCTTCGGCCTCGACGACCAGGTCCTGGCCAGGCACGCGTGGAGGGCTAGAGGGCGCGCTCTCCTGCGCTGCCGGGTGGCGGAAAACCCCCAGATGCGCTTCGTGTTCTGCCTGCGGTGCGGCGGGATTTTGGCGGGCCGCAAGCCCGGCAAGCTGCTCGAGAACTTGTGCCGAGGGCGGGAGTCCAGCGCAGGCAAAGAGCAGCTGCGGCTGGTGCGCCTGTTGCGCTGGCCCCACTACGGCAAGGTGGGACAAGGTGGAGCGCTCGAGGGGCCCTTTGCCCTAGGGCCCGAGGAGCAGCTGCAGCTCGCAGGCGACCTCCAGCTGAAAGGGGACCTGCCCGCGGCAGCGAGCGGCGGGCGTCGCGCTGCTGCTGGCGACGAGCGCCTTCCCGCCACGCCGGCGGATGCGCCGGGACCCCAGGGCAGGCGGCCCGAGCCGAGGGCGGCGCGTCTCTTCCTGCTCCGCTGCTACGGGCTCACGGAGGACGACCTCGAGGAGGTCCGCCGTGTCGGCCGCGAGGCGGCCCGCACCCAGGCTGCCGACGCCACCGACATAGTCTCCGAGGAGGCGGAGCTCGTGGGCTAGAGGCCTGCTGAGGCGGCCCCGGCGCCAGCCCCTTGCCAGTGCCCTCCAAGGCAGATGGACGAGGAAGGTCCAGCGAAAGCTACTTTAAGATGGGCGAGGCGGCGAGGGCCACCCCCATCGATCGTTTGACAATGCGCAGCAGAACCAGTCGTCCGTCGGCCTTTCGGCCGCGCTTCGGCGCA